TAGTTAAGAAAAGAAAAATGGAGCAGTGGTTAAACTGGATTGTCAGATTGATTGGCTTGAGAGGCATACAGGTAATTAGTGAAGCACACTTCTGGGTGTGTCTGGGTGGGTCATGGAAATTTGACTTTGGGTACTATATTTAGTCCCTGGCCTCTGCCTCTCTGGCCCTTGTCCTCTACTCTGCTTACTCAGCTGGCCTTCCACCATGACATTTCTGCTTGGAAGTCAGTGTGGTATGAACTGAATCCTCTGGAACCATGAGCCAAATAAACTTCTCCTTTAAGTTGTAAGTGTCAGATATTGTGCCCCAGAAATGAAAAACTAATAAACACATATTAATGAATTTCAAGTATGATGTGTCATAGATGCAGTATTTCTTTAGGATATCTCCAGTTTGATAAACTATTACAATTACAAGTGCTCTGAATGGTTGCTTTAGGGTTTTTGTTGTTGGTAAGGGAATAAAAAAATTGGTTTCACTTCTGAATAAACAATTCTGGAACAAAGAAGAAGCACAATAGCAGAGGGCATAACAGGATGTGATCTCCTGGGGGAATTTCTGAAATCTTAGGTAGATCGTTGCACTTCTGTGGATTTTCATGGGCTCTTAATCTAGATCATAAAGGGCCAGTTGATATTAGGTAACAATGTCATCACATAGAGTTCTTGGCCAGCATTCCAACAGTGGATGAATATGACACCATTAGTGAAGACATAGGTAGTGAACATGGTGAAATTATGATTTCAGCTGAAGACATAATGTAAATACTTATGGGTTGTTTTATAAATGCCATTCATCAAAGACTATGCAGTTAAGGAGGAAAAGGCCATCTTTGATTCAAAGGGAGTCAGTTCCATGGCTCAAAATGGTATAGCTGAAAGTTTGTAGCGTCTTTCATGTTATCTACTATCAGTGTCAGGGAATATGCCTTCTTATGTTCCTAAAAGGGTCCTCAAAGTCCCCCAAATCAGTCTCCACCCCCATTCCTTACTTAGATTAGCCTTATAGGGCTAAGATGTACTTAAAGAGGTCACTAAAAAGCAATGGATGGAAATTCTGAACATTCACAGGCCACACTTTCTCTGCATTTAATTATATTCCTCAGTAAATTGGGAGTTAAGTACCACTTGAGACAATACAGTTGAATGGCTAGGGAAATGGTGTATCTCTTTTTTTTTCAACAATTCTTAATCACAGGCAGAGAGTGTTAGCACTGAGGTGAGTTGTCCACAGATGTGGAAATGGGTTTGGAAAAGGAACTAGATGAAAACCATTGAGGTGAGTTTGTAAGAGCTTGATAAAAAGCTAATTTAGGAAGCTGAACAAAATCAAGGAGCAGTTAAAATTAGATAATGTAGATTTGTAATCATCCAGGTGTGTGACTAATTCAGCAATGTTCTGTGGGTGGAAAAAATAGAGTGGGTAAAGTGGAAAGATACAAATAATTTATACCCCAGAGCTGAGATAGTGAAGACAATGAACAATTTTTGCCTGAGTTAGTAGTTCAATAAATGTATTTGGAATTGAATTATGAATAGAAGAAGTTTATGTTATGAGTAAAGAAAGAACTTGCTATTTGATTATCATTTTAGAAGTATGTATTAATATACTGCTATATTAAAAGTTGCCTTGAGATACCCTAATTTTTTTGCCTACTTTAATTTTAATTTATCCTTTGGAGAAACAAATCTTTGGTAATCTTTTGTAAACAATTTGACTTTTCTTGCATATTCATATAGCTTGTTATGTGTTAGAGGTTTGGCAAAAGAATACATGTAAATACAACTGTTCATTTTTATCTGCACATTTTCTATTGCTTTTTGGAAATGAAAAGAGAAAACTGAGTTTGTTATAATAATTTAATAGAATCAGGTAAATATTGCTCACCTCGGTCTAATAAGAAAATATTCATTTTTATAAGAATCAACAACATTCCAATGTTAATTGTCAAGAGTTTATAATGTGATTCTCCCTTGACTCTTCAATTTTAACTTTAGCTGTATTTGGTCACATGTATGACAATGTCAACACTCTTGTCCAATACAAAACAAAGCCTACAATTCATCAACTTACTTCCAGGGGGTGGAAATTTGCCCATAGCTATTTCTTTTGTTTGGAAGAATCCTATAGCAAACATTTCAAGAAGGAGTGCTTAAATAACTTTGTTTCTAATTACTACTTAGAAAAATGTATGTAGATTTACTAAAAATGGGGGGTCTGTTTTAGTTACATTATCATTGCTGGAACAAAAATACCTGATACCCACAAGTTAAAGGAGGAAAGTTTTATTTTACCTCACAGTTTGTAGGTTTCAGTCCATGGTCAACTAGCATCAAGGCAGGGCAGTATAGCAGAGGATAAACAGTCCATGATAAAGCAGGCAGGAAGCAGTTCGATTTCCTTCTTCTTTCCCTTTTTATTCCATCCAGTCAATCACCCACATGCAGAACTATGCTAAACCAATCAGTGGACTGATCCAGTATCACACACCTGTGATCCAGTCACTCCCACCTATGGAGTACATGAGGCTTTGGGGGAGATCGAGGTATTAGCCATAACAAAGACTGAAGAAAGATTTGGAAGAATAAAAATTGTTGAGGTTTTAAGAACTATAACACAAGTACATTTGAAGGACAATGCCTTGTGACGGCCTCTGCACAGATCAGACCTGGGTTTGAGGAAAAAGCCCCGTCAGAATCCTCCAAGAAAGCTTTGTATTTCTTAATTTTTCACTCAAAGCATCACAAAAGGGTGTGGTCAAGGGTGGATGGGTTGGTATTTAAGATTAATAATGCTGATTGTTAAAATTTGTGTGTGACAGGGAGAAATCAGTAAGTGCAGTGCAGTTTGGTGCCATAACCTTGATTCATGCTTAAATGCAAAGAATTTTAGTGTCATTACTTTGCATGATCAAATTTCAACATAATCAAAAGAGGCTTTAAATAAAAAAACCTTAATACTACTGCAAGCTTTTAAAATACTTTTTTCATTTATAGTTGCTGAGGAATTAAGTTACTTGGTAATTTTTATAGAGTCAATATTGGTGAATAACAATAAAATGAATTCAACTTTTACAATAAATTTACAAAATAAAATGGTTAATGATGTTGTGTGAGAACATAGAACAACTAAAAGTTACAACTTGTTGAAAGTGTTATCTACTTCAGATAATTTGATATTACAAGTATAATTTAGTATAAATGTAAATTATGATAATTCCACTTCCAAGGATATCCTTTGAGGTACTTCACATATAAGCCTGGTTATAGAAAACAAACAAAAACCAAACATGAAAATGAATATCTAGCTGCTTGCAGACTACCAAAAAAGCAAAGCAAAACAAACAAAAATTACCACCACCAAAACTTTGTGGTACATAAATACATAATAAAACCTTGTACAGCAGTAAAATCAAATAGCTATAGTCATTAAATCTCATGAACATAAAAATGAAGAATATCAACAAAAAAGCTACAGAAACTGTAAGAATTATTCAATTTCCATAAAGTTTAAAATATTAAAAACTAAAATGATCTTTTTAAAGGAGTACATCTATCTTTTTAAAGCCTATCCTAAAATCAAGGCAATAATAGAAACAAAATTCAGGGTTAGCTTTCAAGTGAGTGCCATCTGTTGACAGGGATATTACTGTACAGTGCTGAACATGCTAGTAAAGTTCTATTTCTAAAATGATGGGTGGGTATATTAGTGTTGTTTTTGTTAGATTTTCCAACTTTCAGTTCATTAGGAACATTCTCTTTTGTTTCATAATCAGTAAAAGCAATGCTAAAACTTTAAAGTGTCAACATCAAAGGAGGGAACAGAACTATTTCTGTAATTACTGACTCTATATGGTAACAATCCAGCTCCATAAATAATTTCATACATCTCTATCATTTACCTTGAGTAAAAATTAATCCACAAATAATTATATGTGGCAATACCAAAAAAGCATTAGGTTAATTAAAGCTATTCAATTTTTGTACAGTGTCTATTTGACAGGGTAAAATATTTTTGAACAACATTTTAGAATCTTTAGAAGTTTATTTCCAGGAAAACTCTTAGTACCTTCTTTCTGGGATATCCTTTATGTAAGTCTTTTGCATCTTATATGTCTCTGTCTCTCTCTTTGAGATACTGTTTATTTCTGCAATTTCCTTACCTTATAAATGAGAGATGATGTTTTCTACTTCACATGGTAAATGAGAAAACATGTATGTAACACTCAGCAGAATAGTACATTTAAGGATTCAATAAATGTTAGATGTTAATGTGATAATTTATTATTGCAACTTTGTGTACTATCTTATATTTAACTTTATTTTAAAATCTTTTCATGTGCATCAATAACTCAATCTAGTATACTAAATCTATGGTCATTTGAGGTTTTTTTAAAAAATCATTTTTCCACTACCCTTATATTTTTCTTAAAAATAAACAACATTTACTGGATTCTTTTCCCTTAAATTTTCAGTGCTTATTAATAAGAAGATTTGTTAATCTGAAAATGAATAGGAAATGGTCATTCTTTCATTCATACATCTCTTGGGTACTTCAATCTGTAACACACCATACATAGCACAAGAATAAAGGATAGTGGCCACCATCAAATGTTCATAGGTTACCAATGGGAAACAAAAAGTTTAAAAAATCACACCAAAAAACAAGTGTTTTTAGTGTAAAGAGAAGGGTATTAGTCATTGACTTGAAAAATTCCCTAAATTACGTAAATCTAATATATTATGAAAGATATTCCTATTGCTTAAGATAGTTATAATGCATATAACCAAGTTCTTACACTGAAAATATTTTATATATTCTAATTTATAAACTAGTGTGATGAACATAACAGCACTATGGCATTGAAAAATGATATATTATTAAAATGCCAAATTATTTCAGAACAATGAATTTCTCCTGTTGGCAATAAAGTAAAAATTTCTATAAATAATTTCTGTGCAGTATGCAATATCATAAAATGCTATGTTTCTTTGTTCAGAAAACCTAGTGAAGCTACAGAAGGAAGTCAATACCGACTTGAAGATTCTCACAACATAGCTGTTCATGTTAAAAAAGCACATAGTGGCTATGCTTTATATGGACAAAAAGGATCCACAGAAACTTTTGAAGAATTTCTTCATATTGTAAAGAAATTGTAAGTATTTTTAATGTGTTACTACTTGTATTTCAATAATTCTTTATAATAGCTTTAAAAATGTTAGTTATTTGCAGACAAGTGCTATATAGCTTTTGATGTGCTGTAATAGTAATGCAGTGGTGGCGAACTTATGGCACACACGCCACAGCTGACTGTTATCTTTGAGAGCTTTAAAAGTTTTGCCATCACAGTACTAGTGGTTGATCCTGGAAAACCTGGGAACTTTGTTCCAGGATGAATATAGTTTTAATGAATTTAATCTTTATGGAATGTCTTGAATATATTGCTAAACTTATGGCTCATCATTTTCAGTTGTAAGCAGATATGTGTCATACACTGATGTTATTAAATCAAATTATGCTTGATATTTCATTGGCTTTTGGCTACTGAAGGCTTTTCCCAGAATTTAAATTTTCACCTCCATCACAGAGCTTTTAAATACATTTACCTCTTAGTTTTTTACTATGGAACAACTTTATGTTGTATTGAGACATATTTGCTTTGAGAAGGAGAAGGAAGAGTAAGGGAAAGGAGAGAGAAAGAGGGGATTAAATCAGTGTGTTGGCAGGCTACCAAAGATGGTATTGGATTTGTGAATAACTATTCAAAAAGAACCATGAGAAAATATGATTTGAGATTGAGATTTATAACTGAGACAAAATCAAGAGAAGTATTAAGATCGGAATTCTCCCTAAAACAACAACCATTAACATGAAATTAGTAATTTAAAAATCTACCATTTTTGTTATGAGTAAGAATTTTATACTATCAGCTCTTTCTTCAAACTGTAATTGCATATGTGAAAAAATGTGATCAGAACTTCCAGGAAATGTGTGGTCATATTTCTGAGGCCTTTAACTTATCACAGCAACTTTTCATAGAAAATGCATATGTGTGTGTGTGTGTGTGTGTGTTTGTGTAATACTAGTCACATTTTCTTGAAGCAAGTGTGAGGGATATATAGAGAAGGAAATCATAACTAACTGCTGTACAGGACTACAAGCAAATTAGTAAGTTGTAAAAACAAGAAATTTAACTAGTATATGCTCAGTAAATTTGTTAAAAATATATATTTTATCTGGTAGAAAATCACAGAAGCACTGAAAATTATTAGAGATATAAGATTCCACAGTCATATTCATTTTATTAAACTATAATGTCAATTAATTATATTAAAATTATATCCAAAATT